CCCGGAACGATGACATTGGCGAGGATTTATACGAAAATGTAGTTTCCATTTTCAATTACCAAGGTAGAGGTAAAGGAGCTGCGACACACCGATACGTCGTGGGTGGAGAATCACAAATTACGCATACTTATATCCTCATGAATTGTCCAGAAATCTTACCGTTTTATCAGTAAGTTAAATTTGTATATATATTTGTAATATATATACAATTATATCAGGTAGTTGATTTATAATATTTTCATGTTTGACTGCACAGTGAATTTAGAGCGGAGCTCTCAGCATTCCCTGATAATGAAATTGATGAAATGGTGGACTCTAATTTTGTACCGTGGTACAAGTATCAGGTATATATATACACACATTAATTATATATATTATTAAGTAATGATTTGTAATAATTATCCAAAGTTATCATGTTATATTTTACAGATCAATAGCCGTGAGATTGTGGACCCTCTGTTAGTAGTATTATCGTGGGGCCCTGGTGCCTACGCCAAAGTTTGGCGGTCATATGTGATGTACGGTTACAAATATCACACAGTCAATTATGGACAGGGGCGACCAACAGTGAACAACGGGTTATGTGTCCCAACCATCGGTTATGATAACTCGGAATCCAATTTTTTTGGTGTCTTGCATGACATTCTCGAATTTGAAATGCCTTCTGCTGGGAAAAAATTGACATGCGTTTTGTTCAGCTGCAAATGGGTCGATCCAACGCGTGGTGTGAGAAAAAATTCAAAGTATAATCTGATTGACGTCAACCACTCTCGCGTGTATAGGAAAAATGAGCCTTTTATACTCGCTCAACAAGCAGCCCAGGTTTATTATGCAGAATACCCTTCAACCAGGCGGACACAGAATCCTTGGGTGTGTGCATGTACTGTCCGTCCGAGCAAAATTGTATCACAAACTCAACACAAGGACGTTGATTTAGATGTTTTTCAGCAAAAATTTTGCCAACCTCCGCCTATTGTTGAGACGGTCAACCATCACATTCAATTAAGTGATCCAAATGGCGGAAGTGTTGAAGTCATGCCAGAAACGCACCTTCCGGACCTAACACCTCCATCTGAGCGCGAAATTGTTCAAATGCATGAAGAACAACAAAATGCTCAATATCAGGAAGAAGGAGAATGGATAGACGGTTCTGATACAGAAGAAGACGCTGTATATGTAGAAAATAACGATTCTGACAGCGAGTAATTGTGTTGTTGTAATTTCAATTTTTTTGACTTCAAATATTTGTGCTCTTTTCTTCATCATTATATTACTCCAACAATATTTGATTTTTTTCTTCATCATTACTATTTGTGAAATAAAAATTACTCCATATTAATTCAACAATTACAAGTTTTTAATATCCATATTATAAATTCGAAATATACTTTTAATAATTCGAAATTTGAAAATTATAATTTCCATAATTCGAAATTTAAAATTACTCCATATTATATCCATATAAAAAAAATTCGAAATATCAATTTTAATTTAAATTTGAAAATTAATTTTAATAATTCTAAATATACAAAATTATCAAAATTTGGATATTAAAAAAAATTAATTTACTTTTAATAATATGAATATTATAATAAATTTAGATATTAATAAACAACTAACACAGATTTATTTATCAAATTTAAAAGATAAGTACGAAATACACAATTTATTTATCAGAATGACTAAAATATTTATCAGATAAGCCGACCTGCCCGATGAGCTGACAGGACGACTAAAATATCAGAAGTCATGGTCGAATCCGTGACTAAATTCAAATTTTGAATTTAGTCACGGTCGTAGTCACGGATTTGACCGTGACTACGCCGGTCAAGGCGGCCCTGACACCTCGTCTGCCGCGGCTTGATTGCGTTGAATACGAAGGGCTTAGTCATGGATAAATCCTTGACTAAGTCCGTGACTACACCGATGTATAAAATCAACACTTAGAGAATTTTTTCATTCCATACTCTCCCAACCCTAAACTCTCTTCAACTTCTTACTCCCTCTTTAATTCTTCCCCGGACCACACCGCCACCGCGCCGCCGCCACAGGCCACCGCCGTTATCGTGCAACCGCCGCTTCCAACAACGCCGGTCTCCGCCTTCCGCCGCCTTCCGCCGCCATCAAGGTTATGTTTTCAACTCCTATTTTTTCGTATTTCAATAATTAATTATAATTTTTTTTTAAATTTTTAAAAAATGCATGTTGAATACTCAAACTAGTTGGATCTATTTTTAAATAATGAATGTTACATTGTTAAATAATTTGGATCTGTTTTCAAATGATGCATGTTAAATTTATTACTCTATCTTTAATAATGCATGTTAAATTTTTAAATAATTTGGATCTATTTTTAATATATCCGAATGTATGATGTATGTTCTCAAATGCATACTTTAACTACTCTATTAGTTGAATAATGCATGCTCTATTTGTTGAATTTTTATATGTAAGTTTTTTTTATTCGAATGCGTATGTATGCTCTTTTTTTTTCGGACTTATTTTTTGGATAATGCATGCTCTGTTTGTTGAATTTTTATTCGAATGCATATGATGAAATATATTAGATGTAATTATTAGGGATTATAATTAGTATATGTTCGGACTTATTTCTTGAATAATGCATGCTCTAATGTCCTAATATATTTTTTACATTATTAGGATTATTATTATGTTTTTATCTATCAAAATTATTCTCTCGGATTATTTGAAAAAAAGCCCCTCATGTTAAACTTTCAAAAAAGTTTAACATGTTAATTATAAAAACTTTAGAAGTTAAAAACAGTTTTCAGTATATAAAATATAAAAACTGTTTTTCGAAATTGATAAAAAGTTATACTTCTAAGTACAAAAAAACTGTTTTTTAATAAATTGATAAAAAAAATTAATTTAAATAAGGGCATGCATTTTTTTTTGAAATATTATACGAAGTACTATTTTTCGAAATTATAATAATTTAATTATTTTAAATATTATACTGTTTTTCATATAAACAAGGGTATGAAAACTGTTTTTTGAAATGATAACTTTACAAACTGATGTTAATACAAAAAATGAATTTTTATATAAAACTGTTTATAATAAAATTGTTTTTATATAAAATTGTTTATATAAAACTATTTTTATACAAAATTGTTTTATATAAAACTGTTTATATAAAACTATTTTTAACTAAAACTGTTTATATGAAACTGTTTTTATATAAAACTGGTTTTATATAAAACTGTTTTATATAAAACTGTTTATATAAAATTGTTTGTATAAAACTATTTTTATACAAAATTGTTTTATATAAAACTGTTTATATAAATCTGTTTTTTAACTAAAACTGTTTATATGAAACTGTTTTTAACTAAAACTGGTTTTATATAAAACTGTTTTTATAAAAACTTTTTATATAATTTTTTTTTTTATAAAACTTTTTTTATATAAAACTGTTTTTTATAAAAAAAAATTTATATAAACTGTTTTTTTATATAAAACTGTTTTTATATAAAACTGTTTTTATACAAAACTGTTTTTATATAAAACTGTTTTTTATATAAAATTGTTTTTATATAAAACTGTTTTATAAAACAATTTTTTGTAAAACTGTTTATAAAAAACTGTATTGATATTAAACCAGTTTTATAAAACTGGTTTTAGATAATTTTTTATAGATAAAACTGTTTTTATATAAAACTGTTTTTACAAATATATAAAGTTAAAAAAGAGTACGAAAAATGAATTAAAATGAATTTTATAACTTCCTTATAAAAATTAAAAAAAACTCATATATTTAAATTTTCAAAAAAAAATTATGTTCCCTCATGTAAACTTGCCTAAAAGTTTAACATGTTACTTTTAAGAGCAATTTATTTTAAAGTTATAAAAAATTTAATTCATAAAATTACCACCCCTCATATTAAACTTACACACAGTTTAATATGTTATACACATTTTCAATTGATAAAACTTGTATAACAATTTGATCTTCTATTATAATCACACTATTAAAAATATAAATTAATATATTTTAGATGAGCAATGAACAATCAACCTCGCGTGCCCGCCCAAACTATGTGCCCTTAACCGAAGCTGAGCGCAACAATGAAAATGCGCTTTGGGTGACACCTCACATGGTTGCAAAGTAAGTAACTATGAATTTTATCTAACGTCAAATAATTTTTTCAATGTATCATAATGTAATCAAAACTTCTATAAATAAATATTATTAATTTTTTGAAGCGATCAAGAAGTGATGGACCAAATCAAACTCATAATTGGAGGACACTTTCTTGGGAACTGGGCAACGTACACGGAAGTTGACCCCAAGGTTCGTGAACTTTGGTGGAACCTATTCAAGGTAAAAATAAATGAATTTTCTCTGTGTAATTGTATTAACTTAACATTTGATAAAAGATAAATTAATTTATTTGCTTTTTATAAAGGGCCGGTTTCGATGGACTGAAGCCCAAGGTCCCGCTATCCTTAGAGCGTATAACGCTAGGATTTCAAACTGGCTTCGTCCTACTTTTAGGCGTGCCCGAGCGAGCGGGGTAAAGCCTGGATGGTGTTCGAATGAGGTGTGGGCTAACCTCTTGGCAAGAAGCGAATCCGGTAAGAAAAACTGGATGTCCGAGACGACCTTGGAGACACAATGGCACGGGGGCCGCAAACCTCAGAGTAAACATAAAGAAGATCTTGTAAGTCTTATTCAAAAAACCTTACACCATTACAACTGTAACACCCCGGTTTTTATGAGCCAGTTATATTAATCATTATTATTTATTTTGTCAGCTATGTAAGTTTCTTCTATGAATAATGTGATATATTATTCAACATGTTGTGTTTGTGGCAGGTAACGTTGACCGGTAAGCTCCAACAATTTTAAGTGATGAAATAATTAATAGTATTAGTTTTATTAGTTTATCCTGAAAGTTAGAATAAAATGTTCAGTTGAGTCAAAAGTATTTTTTTTAAAGATTTAGAAATCCAAATCTATTTTCTTAACCCGTCTAAATTTAATTGGAGTAACTTCTGAACACTAAATCCCTAAGAAGTGTTTATACCAAATATTAAAACCCAAGAATAAAACCTGCGTTAATATCCTCCCATCAGCCGCCGCCCCTTCTTCTAAAATATTTCCGTCACTCTCAATTGTTGGTCGAAAGTTTCTTAGTTCTGAATGGTCATCCCAAACTGAACCTGGTAAGATGAGTTTCATTCTCTCTATTTATATTTGTTCTTCTGGGATTGTTGAAAAGAATGAGTTTGGGCAAGATTTGATCTGTCAAAGGTTTTCAAAGGCTCAAATTGGTATATTAATCTTTAATATTGAACCTTGATAAATGATTTTACCTCCCCTAAATCTCTGGTACGTTTGGCACGAAAAGAAGGGAATTGCAACAATATCAATTTCTCTGAAATTTTTTAAGCAAAACAGTATCAAGTTTGACTAATTTTGTTTAGTCACGCAATCTGTCTAATGATGTTCCTTCCTTCTTCCACTGGAAATTTAAAATACATTTATTAAATTGTTAAGCCTAGACTATGGAGTGGTATTAATAATTGGTTTGAAATCACCTAAGCTATATCTACTTGATTTTATTCAAAACGTGAGCATCAATTCAGTCTTGTACGGAGGTGTGTTTCCGGGGTTCACTGTTGGATATTTAGATTTCAGTTAGAAGAAAATCAACTAGTTAATTTTATATATATATTCTAAGCAGCTGCATGGCAGAAGTAGCCAAAGATTTCCTTACATCAGATTTATAATTATTTTATTACATCCAATTAAAGATTTCAAAGAAGAGCTTACCGGAAGACGTTATCAAGGTGCCACACTTATTTGGATAATTTGAGTTCAGCTTTTACAGGTAAGTTCACTACCACCTGTACATATTTGTTCAACCAAATGAAAGAAAGAAGTCTGGTTGATTTTTAGTAGATAATTTTAGACTGTTTGCTATTATGTGAACTTGGTGAATTATTTGATGAGTTATGTTATTAGTCGTATTGAGTTATGTTTATTATCTGGCATGGTCAAGATTATGTCAGTACTTTTATTTCGAGATTTTAATAATGTTTTTATCCAAACGTCACCGTAAAAAGAACTAATATTTAAAGTGAAAGATTAAGTGATATGTACTCGGGAACAAGTTCCCACAGAGTTACCAGTTATCAGTTTCAGAGAGTCCGATATGTTTAGTGGGTCGCTCCCCTGAGCTGTCGGATTGGCGCCTTTGAGTACATATCACGGGCCCACAGAGTAAAATTAGCCACAAAGAGCTTTACAGAAAGTATAATGAGATCTCTTTCAGAAAGTTTTACAGAAAGTTGTTTTTGAGATCTCTTTCAGAAAGTTTTAAAGAGATGTTTTGAGAAAGAAATTTTGAGATCTCTCCAGTAGTTTTGAGAAATTATTTTAGAAAATATTTTCCTTTTGAGATCTCACTCAGAATGTATTTGAGAAGTTATGTGTTAGTTATTTGTTCAGTGCATGCTTATAGCCTAAATTTATCTATTGATAAATTGGCCTAGACTTCTAGATATTTTTGTGGAGCCATAGTGACTTACTAAGCGTAAAGCTTATCAGTGTTCTTTCCTCGCATGTACAGATACCAAGGGTAAGGCCAAGGCCTAGGAAGATGACGAGGGAGTGGAACGCGTGTCAAGATGAGTTAACGGGAACGACCTTGGTGGCTTCTAGCTAGATAATATTTGGTTTCAGTATTTCAGTGTGATAATAAAGTGATTTTATTACTTTATTTTTTATTTGAGGATTTGAAGTTTTAGCAAATTCCTGGATCCAGGTGGTTATCACATTTGCTCATGATAACTAGAAGTCTAGAATTTATTTTATTTTATTTGGAGATATATTTTAGTTATATTTGATATTTTATCAGAGTTATTTCTTAAACAAACGGTCTTTATATTACAGTTTATTTTTAAAAGTTGTAAGTTAGTGTAACGTTTTCCTTTAACCCTGAGAGGGGCGTTACAACAACCCTTCATTTTTAAATTTATTTATAGATCTTAAGCCTTTTTTCGAATTATGTAGGTGGGGCCTGAGAAGAAGAAGGTCTCGATTCTCAAGGTCATCAAGCACTGCTGGACAAAGCACGACGATGAGTCGGATGCCGATCCGCCACCCCGCCTCGCTGAAATCGAAGTAAGTAACATCTATTTTGTTACTTAGTACCATTCAAAATCTAATTGAGTAACATTAAATTAACAATTTTTGTACATGTAGACAAAGTATAACACAAATGTTGAGAAGAAGCGGGCGGAATTAGGCTTGACTCACGAGGATGAGATCGATTCTGATGTGGAAGATGATGCCATCGTTGAGGCAGCTGAGGTCTACAAGGGCCAGGTTCCGTGCATGGGGGCCGAGGGGCAACGGATTTTGTACGACCACAACGGCGCTTCATCTTCTCGATCAAGGCGCGGAGAGGATCCACATATCGCTCAAATGCAGCGGGAATTGGAGGAGCAACAGCGGGCCTTGGATGTGACACCGCACCCGAACGTCCTTGAAAATTTGATTTAAATATTCAAAGTTTATGTATTGGATTTCTGATTCCCAAACAATTGTAAAACGATTAATGTTTTACGTAATTAATGATCGAATATTGTACTGTTCGAACTCGTATATTAGTGTCGGACATACAAATACTATTTGGGACTTATTAGTAAATAAAAGAGCCCAACATTATCGTAAATAAGTGATAGGACGTCTAGAGAAGAATACAGATGCCTATAGTCCCATCTTTAACATTATTGAGCTAAATAATGGGAGTAGGATTTTTCTTCTATAATATCCACTAAGTAAATTATTGTGATAAACCTACACATATTGGAGATCAATCATGTGATGTAGGAAGTTGACTTGTTCTAAATAAATTAGGATGAGTACAAAAAGACATCTTTGACAAAAGATAAAACAATAGGACCCATCTTCCCATTTTTGGAAGTATTGGTAGATAATTTGGATCCCAAAATGATTGGGATCAATTGGGAACCACTCTACACATGGTATTAGTACCTGCAAGACAAATAAAAATGGGTGAGAGGACTTACCTTGGCCGGCCAGCTTGGAGAGAAGCTTCACAAGACATAATTAGCATCAACTTAGGGCCACCATGAGCAGTTTTCGCACAAATTGGTGTGCTGTTTGTCTCCACTCATTATGGGAGATATACTTGACCAAATAAGGTGAATGAGGTGTCCTTGGATAGCCTTTGAAGTCTATTTTCATATTTGAGTGGTCTATGTTCGAGAGGATAGAGTTTCATACAAAAAATCGAGCTGAAGTGAGCTGTGGTCTGTAAACTCGAGCTGTGAGAGCGCTGAGACTGTTGGGTTGATATCTCGAGCTATACCAATCCAATTAAGGCGTGTGAGATACCACAAGAAAGCTCTCAAGACGAGGAATCCGTGAAGGTCTGGTTTGTATCAATCGGAGCAGTGGAAGACTTCCAAATCGTCCGAGAAAAACACAACCTCGCAGAAACGGATCTACTCTTCTAAAGTGAGTTGTTAACCCCAAAACCTTTCCTTTCTTTTTCCAAATGATATGAACGATTGATGGAGCTATTGTACACCAATCCAAGTGTATAATATGTCCTTATAGATTTAATTTATTGATGTAAAGGTTATGTACTAACCTAGAGCAAATCATGGAAAAGCTAGGAAACGTGTTCACCGGAAAACACCCATTCTAGGGGCTGTTTTCGTACCAACGTTTAGGGGTTGAGCTAGCGCTTTGAAGAGGCTGTTTAACACTCATATTTGAGCAAGGAATCAGTTCCAAATCCACCTTGACCAAAGTCTTGACCATTGGACCAAGAAGGGATAGTTTAAAGCTCAATTGAGGTGAGGATGACCGACTATATTGCTTATAATCCTTGGGTTAATTTCATAAGATTACCTAAGATAACTAAATGTGATTTTCATGGATTATTAATGATTAATAATGCCTAATGAAAATATTGTTGTTTATTAATAGAAGATGCATAATATACAAATTTATGAGTAAATGGTGTATAGTTATGCATTGTAAGAATGATGATATGATGAATGTATAAATCATGAATTTTTGTGATGAAATATACTTTTACTTCATGTATAGAAATCATGAATGGATAAAAGTGATATTTTTGATATTGAGATTAAATCATATATAGATTGGGAAATTCATGGGAATGAGCCTTATAACTATGAATTAAAGAGCTTGGTGGCTTAAAGACAAATGGATTAGTATTGATTTTACTAGTCGGAAATGTTAGTATGAAAAGTGATAGAACCTAACAAATCCTAAGGGCTTGGATTGTGAGAGAGGTACACCTTAAGTAGTCTTATGAGATGTCTTAAGGTAGAAATGGGTAAACGCTAAGTTACCGTAGGAGTAGGCCTCAAAGGCTACTCATAATAGAGGAACTCTAGGCATAGAACTTGCTTAGTGAACTAGTATCGTGACTAGAGGAAGCCTCTAGCACGATGAAGAATGACTGGAGGAAGCCTCCAGCATTCGTGTAGGACGACTAGAGGAAGCCTCTAGCGTAACGTAATGTGACTGGAGGAAGCCTCCAGCACAACGTATGTAAGGTGATTAGAGGAAGCCTCTAACACCAAGTGGAGTGACTAGAGTAAGCCTCTAGCACGACAAAACATGACTAGAGGAAGCCTCTAGCATGGTAAACTAATATAGATGGGTGTGGCTTGAAGTCACGGGGAAAGGGTTAAATGTTTTCAAAGTAAACATGGGCCTTCGGGCGACTACTTGACTTTATATATAAAGTAAGTATACTTTTAAAGAGGGTAACCACGGGTTATGACCTATAATATAATAACATCCTAGATTGAGGGTCTTGGAAATTGAAACTTTGATTATACTTAGTATAGTTGTCATTGTACTTGTCAAATGCTTCCAAGTACTGACCTCCCCTTCACAGGGGAGGCCACCTCACAGTTTCAGGTAGAACTTGAAGGTTGCTACCCTCGCCGTTGCTCCAAGGGAATTCAGGAGAAGAAGACGTGGTTCGTGCTTCCTCCGTTCCTGTTTTAAACTCATTTAAATTAATGCTCATGGATGTTATCTTTTGAATAACTATTGATGGCTTGTATGCCCATGTTACGCCAAGTGTGGCTTGAACACTTGTATTAAACGTTTCCGCTGCGTTGAATGAATATTTTATATTATGTTTGTTTATGGATGTACTATGTGTGAATGATATCCCTGACGCCTTGTATAGTATGAATGTGTTGGACTGCGGTTGACCATTCGTACTGTACGGCGGATTGTTGACGTATCCGGGTAGGTCCGGGGCGTGACATTGGAGGAGCAGCGCAAAAAGGACGAAGAAACAAGAGCCCGGCTGGAAGTGATGGAACGGATCCTCTGCGCCGGAATTCGGAATCAGCCTCAGCCTCAGCCGTATATACTGCACCCCAGCAGACTCCTCAAGTTTCGCAGATGAGCGGTTATTTCCATTCCAACTCTGCTTCTGGGTTGCCTTCATATGGTTCTTTTCAGGATATCAATTTTCATAACCTGTTTCAAACATCTGGAGGCAGTCAAGGAGGAGGCAGCCAAGGAGGAGGCAGTCGCGGAGGAGGTAGTTGCGGAGGAGGCAGTCGCGGTGGCAACCGAGAGGGCCAAGGTGGAGGCAACCGAGAAGAAGACGAGACCGAAGAAGATTATCTATATGATGATTGTAGATATTATCATAATGGTGGCCGAAGGAGCTTGTAAATGATATACATTTTTAATTGAACATTGTTCATTACTTTTATTCTAATCTGTTAATTCTACAATTATTTTTTTAAAATAAACTTTTCTAAAGAAAATTTGAATTTTTTTTAAATTTTTTTTAAAAAAAACTTTTTTAAAAAAAATAAAAAAAATTAGTCACGGATCTAAGCCGTGACTAAATTGTAGACCGGATATTTTAAAATTATTTTAAAATTTTAAAAATGTTTTTTTTTAAAAAAAATAAAAAATATAGTCACAGATTTAAGCCGTGACTAAATTTTAAATTTTGGAAATTTAAACCCTAATATTTGGCGGTTTATTCGAAATTTGAAAACTTAGTCACGGAATAGGTCCGTGACTAATATGTTCGGATTAAAAAAAAAAAATTAGTCACGGATAGAGGCCGTGACTAAGTCGCCGGTGTGGTTATTCCGGTCACAAATTAGTAAAGGATCGGGTCTGTGACTAATCCGTGACTACGCTTAGTCACGGAAAAAACGGCTGTGACTAGAATTAGTCACGTCCGAAAAGTCACGAATTTAGTCACGGATTTTTTCCGTGACTAGCAGAGTTAGTCACAGATTTTTTATAGTAGGGTCCGTGACTAAATCCGTGTTTTTTTGTAGTGACGATTGGATCTATTGTAACTGTATGGACGCTGTCTTGTATGTTTTCTTGATATTAATACATATAAAAGATGTTCTTTTATTTTAAAAAACAAAGTTGATTCTCATTAATAAATAAAAGTAACTTTGGCGAATCTTTTTGAGACAAAGGAAGCACATAGTTAACTTCACATATTTTTATTAAATAATTAAACCTTAATTTGGAACTTGTACTATGCTTTTGTCCTACACCGGATATCTCTTAAACAATTAAACGCTATATTAAGATCTGAGTTCCTCCCTCTCCTCTTAACATAGTCTAGTAATTATTGTAGAGTTTGAACTTAATTACTATGGCATTAAAAGGGCTCAAATGTATATAAAAAAATTCCAATATTATCAATAATGTAGGATTCGCTGTTCTCTACGAAATGTTAGAATCGAATTAGTATATGCTTTTTAAATAAAACTATATATGTTGTAGTTTAAGAATATAGAGTCTCTCTCGTGAAAGAAAAATGATCGAATATCAAGTCTAATACTTTATTCCTACTATAAACCATTTCTCCTAAATTCGTATGACCTACACGGGTCCGATGATTACTTTCCTACATGCATCTATGAGTATTTTTGTCTCAATCATTAATTTTGTAAAAGTCCGTATACTTTTTAGTTATGTCACATGAGTCATATTTGTGTTTCTAATCCACAATATTCTATATTTTACACTTTGACTTATGCCTTTTGTTTATTTCGACTAGTGCTAAAATCTTATGTTAGTAGTGTTAAGCAAGTACTTAGCCACTTAGGGGCTCTCATTCATTCCACCCAATGTTTTGGACGCCACGGTGGTTACCCACCCTTTAACTTATTCGAAATCTAATATTCTCCCATTGTTAGGTACGTACTACTCAGGGCCGGTCCTGAGAAAACGAAGGCCCTGTGTAATAACAAAATTTGGGCCTTCCTATTTGGCATAAATATTGATATTTATGTTAGATTTCAAGTACATAATTTGTGTTCTATTAGGGAGCAGTAGAGTAGTACTACTACTACTAAAAATTTATTTTGGGCCCTCCAATTTTTTGGGCCCTGTGCGGTCGCATACTCTAGACTCCCTCTGGCCGGCCCTGCGTACTAGAATTAAAAATTGACGATCAAGAATTAATACTTATACTGTATGCTCTATTTGTATAAATAAATTCACAAAGATGCGCTCCTAAACATGAGATTCTGTACATACTCGACTAGTATCTATGTGGAATTAGTTTGATAGATAAAAAAAACAATATAAAAATAGGAGTTTTTTATATTTGGCGATCCGACCTTATAGAACTTTGATAAAGGAATATAATATGGAGTA